GCGCGACGAGGTGAGTGGGACGGGGAGAGTGAGGGCGTGGGACTGGGGCCTACCCACTTCCCCCGGCAGCGCTGCCTGCCCGCTCGGTGTGGGGGAGCGGCTTCCCGGCCGGCGGCAAGTGTCCGGCGGGGGGCGCGGCCCGGCCTGGTGCGCAGCGCGGTGGTTCTGACGGTTGGGCCGTTGCGGGCGTTAGCGCCCGGTTTCCCTGTCAGCCGTTAGCAGGCCGCTCGTCGCCCCAAGCCGGCGTCTCGCGTGGGCTGCTCCATGGAGAGGAGCCCTTCGGACGAGTCTGTTCAGGCACGGTGCGGCGTAGAGCAGTTGCGGCGTCCGTTCGTGCTCTCGTGTTCTCCTGGCAGAAGAGAAGTCAATTCGTGCAGGCTTTTAGTGGTCCGTAGTTAGTCATAAAAGACAAAGCGTGGTAGTTTTCTGAGGAAAAATGTGTTGTAGAGGGAATTTATTAGTCAGAAAAGGACCTACCGCTTTGTCCAGCCTGAGTGCTCGGTTGTGAAAGGTGATCCTTCCAGTTAGGTAGGCAACTGCTTCCTCCTATCACTTACTAACTGGGCAGCCAGTTCTGAAAGCATGCCCCTGAAACGGCTTCTCATACAGAAGATCCTCTCTGTATGTGATGTCAGAAGTCCCCCAGTCTTAGTTTCCTGACGATTCCCTTGGGCTGGCTTCTTTTCTTGGCGGTGATAGCTCCATGCAGGAGCCCGTGCTGCTGTGCTTGGTGTGCTGCCGAGTCCGAGCTCGGAAACAGTTCTGAAAGGATGGGTGTTGCAAGGCAGAGGTAGTGCTGTGCTGACAGGTTTACGTGGCTTGGAGGGTGGACAGCGGGGTCAGGCCTGTCTGCAGAGATCTGTGGTTTTGAACCTTTTTACTTTACGCGTTTTCAGTGTATAGCAAAAACAAATTTTGAAATGAGCCTGACCCTTTTTAAGGATCTCTTGTGAGATAAGCAATAGAGCTTTAAAGGAGCTGCACTCCAGAGGCTAAAAATCTCTTACCGTACATGCAGTGGCTGATGCTTCAGAGGGAAGTGCTTAACTTAGGGCTCTGTTGCAATCGATCACCCTTCTAATTCACGTTGTTTCATGTTAAAACATAATCTGTTTTCTTTTAAAAATGCCAAATTAAAACAGGTTAATTCACTTCAAGAGACAACTTGGTGATAGAAATAACCTAGCATTTAACTACTGTCAAGTAAAACTGAAAACGAATTTCTAATTTGGTATTTTTCTTTGCTAGGTCCCAGTCCTTTGTAAGGAAAGCTATAGACCATAAATATGGGAAAGAAACGCACTAAAGGCAAAACCACACAGGCTGATGAGTCCCTGGATATGCTGGGTATGTTTCTTCAGAGAAGCTTATAGTCCTAGGAAGAAAAACGTTTCTTTTCTCTTCAGACAGAGAAGGCTTAAACTCATTACTATCAGAAGAACTTTACGGTAGTTACTGACTTTGAGGACTCAGTTACAAAGAGTGAGTTTATATAAGGGAAACTTAAATCTTCAAGAAGCATTGGTGTTGACACTTTTCTAAATTTGCTGTAAATTATGCTGCAGTTTATTATTTAATAAACCTGATTTGAAAACCATTATTTACACAAACAGTTCTTTGCTGACACGTTTATTGAGTCCTCTAAGACTTCTCAATGTATAAAGGATTCATAGAGTCAGATGCTAAACTTGTCATGACAAGTTTAAGTGGCATATTCCTGATGAAGAGTCCATACTTTTAGAAGATTCATGTTTCAACAATAGAAGATTTTGATTGGCCTATCTTTGAGAAACCACTTGTCTTTACAGTATCAACTAACTCTGGTCTATGCCCGCTCGTGGTTGTCCCCCCCCCCCCCCCCCAAACTCTAGGGCGCTGTGTGTGTGTTTTTTTTTTTTTTGTTTTTTTTTTTAAGGGAAAAAAAACAACTCAATCCAACTTTCTCTTCCTTTCCATCTGTTCTTTTAGAGAAAATCCCAAATAGATAATACTATCCGTCTAGCTGTACTGGATCTCACCTTTGCGTTGAAGTTCTGTTATCTTGTTTATTCAGGTTATTCTAGCTGTTGCTTGTTTTTGTGCTGTTTAACATTCTCTTCTACAGCCCTTTTCTACCAGGTCACGTATTTTGCCACCCATTTGCCTGCTGCCCATCTTGTGTGCTGCATGCCATGGGGGAAACAATTTTAAGCAGGCTAACTTAGCTGGGAGAGAGGATGGGAGGGAGGAGGAGTACTTGCATCGGGCCTTTTGGCTAAAACTGGGATGGCCCATCTATTTTAAATTCTTATTTGCTCTGTTTTGGTTTCCTGGTTGTCCTTGTCTCATGGTAGTTTTTCTGTCCTGTGGTGTTTTAGCTCTTTTTGTCTCTTTCCTGGAGTTGAGACCACTGTCTGCTTTGCTATTTCTCATCTTTTTCCCAGCAAAAGATCAGCTACACTGCAGTTGCTGATGGCCTCTCACATCTCCAACGGCTGAATAGGTCAGCTCGCTCTGAGAAAGTCCTGTAAAGCCACAAATGGAACCTACTCACAATGACCAGTCTTAGTTAATCCCACTGTATAATAGCAGCCAATATCCAAGAGCTTTATTAAAAAATAAATAGTTTTGAAGTTGCAGATGAAGCTTATGCCTTTAAAAAAGGTTTAAAGAATGCGTCTAAACTCTAGATGCACTACTAAGCTTTTATCAGCTGCCATTTGTACTGTAGTAAAATCCTGTAGTCTTGGACAGAATCAGAAGTCTAGGTACCAAACTTCTACTGGTTTCGGTTCGTGCCAAGAAAAATTTGCCATCTTGAGGCTGTAATCTTACCTGTGGTCCATGACGAAGATAAATCCAGAGCTGTTAGTCTCTCTGATCTGAGCTGTAAGAGTACTTCTGCAGCAAAAAAACTTACGACAGTTAAATTATATGGAGAGCTGTGTAACTCTTCTGGGTTGAAGTTTCATGGAAGAATATGGTTTTTTTAACATATTAAGTATATATGTTATTTTTCCTTTTAGTGTGGGTTACTCTGTGCTTTTTTAACTTGAATGTGAGTATTCATGCAGTCAGGTGTTTGACCTTGTATTGGCAAATTTAGGCATTTGTAACTGAAAATAGCGAAGAATCATAGGTTGACGATGCCACATGTCTTAAATACGCTGCATAAAAAGACATCAAAAAATTCTTTATATTTTCACTGGTTATTTGGAAGAAATTGGATCAGTTCGTGTATGCATCATCTGTCAATCAGGAATTCTCCATACGTGACTTAAGCTTTCAAGCAGCTTCTCCATACCTTCAAATGACAGTGTAACCAACAAAAAAAGGAAAAAAAAAAAAATGGAACTCAAGAGTAATTCTCACCAAGGTATGATTGCAGTTCTCAGTCTAACCATTCCTAGCAAAAGTTAAATAGGTGGGGTTCATCCCAGGCCCAGAAGATGCAGCTCCATGTCGAGTATAGTATTGTAAGATGACAAAGATGTAGATGTGATGACTCTGCCACAGGTCTTTAGCATAGTCTGCTGGATAACCTCACTGAGGCTACTCAGCTGGAAGCATAATCTTATCTCCACTTTTATAGGCCAGCCAGGTGCTGCCTTGGTGACTAGGAAGTGTGGCAGTGGGTTGCGGCTGCTCCCTGGGAGGCTGTGGGAATCATAATGCCGCAATAATAGAAGTCCACAGCTGGAGCAGATCTGGCACGTAGGTAGGTCCGCATACAGAAGTGGTGCAAGCTTCTCTGGCTAGATGTAGATTTGAGTGATACTTTTCTAGTAGTGCAGTAGTTTAGGATGCAGCAATATCCCCAGACTGTGAATGGATAACAAAGAGTTTCTTTCTGATACAGTTTTCTGATATGTCTGCTAAATTTTCAGCCTGCCTTTGACTCTAGAAAGGTCATCTTCGCTTCTGGATTGCTCCCTGTGCTTTTGAAGCCTAGAGACTTTTACACTTGTTAAAGTATCTACATCCTTCTTGTGCTATCTCTTTTGTAGAACCTGTGTGCAAGCATATTCGTAAAGGATTGGAACAAAGCCATCTGAAAAAAGCACTGCTGGACGTGGAATGGCATGTTTGTCAGGACTGCAAGACAGACGATAAGGCACAAGAGAAATCTGAGGAGACTGATGAAAGCCCTTCGATATGGTTATGTTTAAAATGTGGCCATAGGGTATCTCTTGTTTTGTTGTTGTTTTGATTTATTATGAGGCACTGAAAGATACTAGAGTTGAGCAAGAAAGCTTCTGATTGAAGCCTTATATTCTACACTATTTTTTAATCTTGAGGTGGTGCTGCATAAATAACTTGATGCACTTCAATGTGGTGAGATATGTCTGCTCTGAATTGCATATTAAATCTTTGGAAGCTTGGCACAAAGGCATTTAGCAGACTTAAGGCTAAAACACCATCCTGAGGGCTTAATTTTCCTCTTATAAAGTCCTAATTCTTTTGCCACAAAAATAAATATTTCTATTAATGC